CCACCCCCAACCATTCATGCCCCAGTGTCTGTGTCCATTGGTTATGCTAATATGCATGCATACATGTCCTTTGGTTGCTCTCTAACCCCTGCCCTCCCCCAGCCATTTGTCTCTGGATCTATTCTTGTTCACCAAATTGCTTTGATCATTATAGCCCACATATGAGTGAGATCATGTGATATTTATCTTTCTCTGACTGGCTTATTTCACTTAGGATAATGCTGTCCAGTTCCATACATGCTATTGCAAACGGTAAAAATTCCTTCTGTTTTATAGTGGTGTGGTATTCCATTGTGTAGATGTACCACATTTTTAATCTACTTATCTGCTGATGGGCACTTATGTTGTTTCCAAATCTTAGCTATTATAAATTGTGCTGCTATGAACATAGGGGTGCATATATCCTTTCTGACTGGTGTTTCTGGTTTCTTGGAAGTGGGATTACTGGGTCAAATGGGAGTTCCATTTTTAACTTTTTGAGGAAACTCCATACTATCTTTCACAGTGGCTGCACCAATCTGCATTCCTACTGGCAGTGCACAAGGGTTCCTTTTTCTCCACATCCTTGCCAGCACTTGTTTGTTGATTTGTTGATAGCCATTCTGCCAGGCGTGAGATGGTATTTCATTGTTCTTTTCATTTGCATCTCTTGGATGATTAGTGACTTTGAGCATCTTTCCATAAGTCTCTCGGCCTTCTGTGTGTCCTGTTTCTGTATGTGATAAATAGAAAAGTGTCTATTTAAGGCCTTTGCCCGTTTTTTGATTGGATCGTTTATCTTCCTTTTGTTAGGTTGTATGAGTTCTCTGTAAATTTTGGGATTAAACCCTTATCTGAAATATCATTGGCAAATATGTTTTCCCAGGCAATGGGCTTTCTTGTTGTTTTGTTGATGGTTTCTTTTGCTGTGCAGAAGCTTTTTATTTTGATGTGGTCCCATTTATTTATTTTCTCCTTAGTCTCCATTGCCCCTAGGAGCTGTGTCCGTAAAGGTATTGCTACGAATATGTCTGCAATTTTGCTGCCAATGGAGTCTTGTAGGATTTTTATGGTTTCCCATTTTACATTTAAGTCCTTTAGCCATTTTGATATTGTTTTTGTGTATGGTGTAAGTTCATGATGTAATTTCATTTTTTTTTTTTT